TGTTTGTGAAACTAAATATAACCATAATCAAAATATCAAAGCAAATCTGAATTCTCAATTTAAGATTATTTAAAATAAATTTCAGTTTACATTCAATAAATCTAAAGCATAAAGTTATTTAGAATTTATAAATGCATGTAACCTTTTATTGATCATATGATAACTCAAAACATGTTAACAAATAAAAATAAATACTAACTAACTCTTACAATTTTAGTTCTTTTGTAAAATTTATATATATCCATGAGACTTTAGAATATTTTCGTTATTTAAATTTACGTATTTTGGAATTAGACACTTTAGTTAATTTTTAATTCATTCTAAGCACAATATATCTTAAGTTATACATAATTTTCCTAAAATATATTTATATATCTAAGACAACACCCACCATATGCAAATAAGTAACTAATTAAAAATAATATATTTTAAAAATATTACAGTTGAATTCAGAGATGCAATCCAATTTATCTAAATGATAACTAAACCAACCGTAAAACAACAAAATTGACTAGATATAACATATATAAAATTACAGTATAAGTAAATTGATATAATACTATTAATATAAATGATGCATACAAATTATAAATTAATTGAAAATTAAAAGTAAATAATAATCAATTATTATTATATATTTAATTTAAAAATATTTATACCCGTGCACGAGCACGGGAAAATCACCTAGTGTAAGATATATATGCATATATTACGTTTATAATTTAATATTTTCATAACTTTTGACCTTCATTTTGATTTTAAATAATAAATAGATAATATCTGAACCTAATTAACAACAGATTTTTTTGGTAAAAAATTAACAACAGATTTGTTATATTGACCCTATACAACTCAAATTTTCCAACTGTAAAAGAAGATCTTGTAGGTGTGTGATTCTTGTCTTTCTTTTTTCAGATTAGAGATTATTTGACCCTATACAACTCAAATTTTCCAACTGTAAAAGAAGATCTTGTAGGTGTGTGATTCTTGTCTTTCTTTTTCAGATTAGAGATTATGTGGATAGCTAGTCTGCCAAAATACTGCAAAGAATATGAACATCATGAATATAGATACGTAAAATATAAATGTATTAGAGAAATATTACAAGAAATTGTAAAACAATATTACAAACTTTTAAAATATTGTTAAAATCTAAATTACTTCGGATTCGTTAGTCGGTATAGTTGCCACTCGATCCTCTCTCATTCCATATGATCATTTTGCACATCATAACCAATAGCACATCTCATTCATCAAACCAATGATGAAGAAAATTTGTACGATTAAACGAATAAACTATAACAAAGAATCTTCGACGACAAAAACATAAGCAAGTTTTTTCGTTCGAACATTATTAGATACTACTTGCTGTACAGAGCAGTTCTTAAGTAAGGAAGTCAGTGGATTTTAATTACAGAGTTACAACTATCACTCACTTCCTTCCCAACCTAACCAAAAGAACTATCAAGTTTACAGTTACTACTCAATTCTTTATATTCAAGTTTCAATAAACTATAGTTTATTGAAACTTGAAAGTAAAGAATTTAAGAAAAAAACTGGTTAAATCGATCAGAAAAGTGAATTGTGTTGGGTGTCTCTCATTTGTTTTGCAATGTAGATGTAAAGTTATAAGTGATAAATTAATATAAAAAAGTAAAAACAAGATATTACAGAAAAATATTGATAAAATATGCAAAAAACAGCAACAATCATCAAAATATAATGAAATTTTGATAATAAATAAATAAATAATATCATGAAATCAGTGTTATGTAAAACAGATTAAAACCAAATAAATATATATATATATATATATATATATATATATATATATATATATATATTACACGATAATCATAGTTAAAGAAAATTATGCAGCTTACCGTATTTATAAGTGCTTGATGCAGTTAGTTTAAACTTGTTTCTTCTCGGTAAACAGTTCTACGAAGGAATCCACATGTTGGTACTCCCGGTCCCGGTGTCAAAACATCACGATGAATAATTTCAACATTCCCTTTTATATCAATGCAAACATAAACATATAGTGTGGAAAACTATATATGGTAATTATTACTATTTCAAATATTGACTATTGACTAAAATGTAAAATCATTTAAGTATAAACCACTGAAAATCCTAAGACTATGAGAGAGTAAGCGTGTTAAGAAATGGTTTACTTAACTATATGTTTTTTTGGTTTATCAATACTATTAATTTTGGATCATGACCTGTTGATAATAGTGAAGTCCAATTAAAATTCACATACTTAAAATAATATAACTGAATCGAATTATATTTTGTAGATGTAACCCACCACTTTAATTGCAAGATAATCGGGATCTACTTTTTCTAACTGCTACTAAATATTTTATTTAATTAATCAAACACAAATTAAAATTAAATAAAGATGAGAAAATTACGGGATATCTAATAATCATCTTATGTTATGAACACCCCTAATCCAAATGAAACCAAACAATTGTTTCATTTTCCAAAACATAATAAAAATAATAACTTCATCTCGCACAAAACGTAGATCTTATCCTAGTTATTATATTAAATAACTTTTACTCTCTTGTAATAATAACATAAAATACGAAATAATAACAACATTAGTCGGAGGAAAATTTAAGTGGATTTAGCTAATCCAACTTTAATAGGAAGAGTTTGATAATCCCAGACGGTGTGGAATGCTCTAATGAATGGAATGCCTAGTGTCCTACACAAAAAAAAAAGCACAAAAAGAAGTTTAAATACACTTAGAACATTTCCAATATAGAGCACTATTTTTTTCTCTATATTTCATACTAAAATAGAATAACTCTATTATAGTGTTGAATTTGCTCCAATGGTTCACACTATAATAGAGCTATTTTATTATAGTGTGAAATATAGAGGGATATTGGGTTTTTACTTTATATTTAGAGTAAAAATTAAAAAGTATCCCTCTATAATTTATTCTACTATAGTGTGAACCATTGGAGTAAATTCAACTCTATAATAGAGTTATTCTATTTTTGTATAAAATATATAATAGAAAATAGTGTTCCATTGGAGATGGTCTTAAAACCAAAAGAAAAAAAGAAGTTCAAGATATATAGTTTTTCATAAAAAACGTTAAAGATGAAAAACTTACCAGAAATCAATTTTTCCAGAACTATCCAGGAATACACTCTTGCATTTCCCATTCCGTCTCTCAATATACTAGAAAAATCGGTTTTAGAAAATAAGTAAAAGAATAAGGAAAGGGAATAATAATAATAATAATAATATATATACATGGTCCGGCAACTTACATCACGGGGTGTGAGATTGAAACGTTCTCCGGCGATGTTGAAACTAACTTCAGACAACTTGTTATAATTAGAGCAGTCCGCGCTGCTCCGATTTGTTTATTATTCTCGACTATAAAATTCTAAGAATAAAAATTACAGAAAATAATTTAAAAGAGTTAAATTTATTTGTTTGAGAGAAAAAAATTAAAATTAAAATGACTTACGGGTGGACCACGAATGCGTCTACTTCCCGAGTCCATGATAGCATAGCAGCTACTCGAGCAAACTTCTTGTCACTTTTTCCAACAAAAAAAGGAGTACATCTTGAACCGTCTAGAGGGGAAGCCATCAATCCACTTAGGCATCCAAATTATCGAAATATATTCTTTAAATTTTTTTATTAGTATTTATAAATATATAAAAAATTTTAGATAAATATTATTTATTAAGAATTATTAGTCAGTGACTAAAATACAATACTCTTTGATATCAGTGCAGCTAATATTTATTTAATTTGTTTAGTTGTTTCTCAATCTGTGTAATCTATTTATTAATAAAAATTATATAAACAATACTAATGTTTTATGCATATTATTATTATTATTATCAAATAAATATTAATTATGTTTACATATAAAATTTAATAAAATCATATAAAGTATACGTAATAATTAATAAAAATATAAGTAAAAATTATATAAAAGTTAAATAAATTATTATTGATTTTATATGTAAGTTAAATAAAATCATATAAAGTATACGTAATAATTAATAAAAATATAAGTAAAAATTATATAAAAGTTAAATAAATTATTATTGATTTTATATGTAAGATATATATGCATATATTAAGATATATATGCATATATTAAGTTTATAATTTAATATTTTCAGAACTTTTGACCTTCATTTTGATTTTAAATAAATAGATAATATCTGAGCCTAATTAACTACAGATTTGTTATATTGACCCTATTCAACTCAAATTTTCCAACTGTAAAAGATGATCTTGTAGGTGTGTGATTCTTGCCTATTTTTAGATTAGAGATTATATGTGAATACTGCAAAAAATATCAACATCATAAATATATATGTACGTAAGAATAAATGTATTAAAAGCATATATAAATTATTAAAAAATAACGAAATTGTATCCTATACACACCACTTCTCTCATAATTAGGTTTATACTCTAAATCCTACACCATGATACCTTTGTTGGTAGAGAGTAAACTTGTCCCATCATAATTAATTTGCTAATTTCATGTTTCTTTTTGGTTTCCAGCAAATTAACTCTAAAAAATATTACAAACTGTTTAAAATTTTGCTAAAATCTACATTACATCATAAACCAATAGTACATCTTACTCATCAAACCAATGATCAACAAATTTGTAAGATTAAACGAATAAACTCTAACAAAGAATCTTCGACGACAAAAACATAAGCAAGTTTTGTCGTTCGACCATTATTAGATACTACTTGCTGTACAGAGCAGTTCTCTTAAGTAAGGAAGTCAATGGATTTTAATTACAGAGATACAACAATCACTCATCACTTCCTTCCCAACCTAACCAAAAGAGCTTCATGCTTTGCAGCTGCAACTACTTCTGCAGCTTTGTTCGCAGCTTCACGCTTCATAGCCCTCTTGGCACGCCTCCCTGTTGCAGTAGCACTGCTAGTCTTCTTCTCCTTTGCCTCACGGGAGGAAGAAGAAGAGCCTCCTGATGCATCAGAGCCAGAAGCTTGGCCAACTCGGTGCTTATTATGTTGGGCCGGTCTTGCTTCTTGGCGGCCTGACCTGACAAATCCATTATCACCCCACCTCCTGTTTCCTAAACGAAGATTTGAACCGTGGAGATAAAACTCGTCAAGGTCATCATCTTCGTCTTCCTCTTCATACTCTGGTGGAATGTCGAAATCATAAGTGTCATTGCCGTTGTATGAAACCCGCTCCAGTGTTTCCAGTGGCTGAAACCACGATGCTCTTAGGAGAAGACACACACTCTCCTCGAACATGAAATCTTCAACGCTGCAGTGAAGCATAAGTTAGAAAGGACAAAGCAGTGTACAGTACCGCTAAACAATGGCGCAAAATGTAAATAAAGATTGTACCTTCCATCGAGAGAGCGGTGGACATTGAGAAAATCAAAGGGATGCTTACATTGTGGACAGGTAGGTAACTCTTTGTAACTTGCCCAACGGAGTATGCACGTCACACTATTTTATGAATGGAAGCAATGAATCATTTGTCTTAAAAACGAAAAAGCGAATATCAATGTATGTCCCTAATTCATTTCTTATGCATAGAGAATAAACAAAAGTAAGATGCTTTTACATTATATGAAGGAAAATCTACAATCCATAATTGAACAATAACTGAGCAGGGGACTAATATTGACAACCAATGGTTAATCCACAATTAGTAACTTGCTTAGTAATAGTAAGAACCATATCAACAGAGCTGATAATAAGCTAGATTGAGAAAATAATCCATTAGAGACATTACCAGTAAGCATGTTCACAGCCTTTGACCATAGCTGTTTCTTGGAGAGGTATTGTATCTAAACATATTGCACAGCATCCACCATGGTTCCCGAAACTCAGCTCATTGCTCACTACTTTAGTCTTTTTTTCATCCTAAGACACAAAGAAAATTATCATCTTCAATCAATCTCGTTAACGAATAAATAAACGAGAGAGAGAGTCAAGTCAACATCATCCTAGTGGATTTGCCAAGGATTGTAATAAGAAAGGAAAAAAATAACAAGTTCGGACACAACTTAACCAAATTCCGACACAGGTCACAGATTCAGCATCAGACAAGTAAAACTGTTAATCCAACAAAAAATCCGAAATTTAAACTAACCCACGTAGATTAAGCACAAAACAGATTAGAAGGTCAAGAGATTGTAATAAGAAACGGAAAAGAAACCAAGTTCGGACACAACTAAACCAAATTCCGACACAGGTCATAGATTCAGCATCAGGCAAGTAAAACTGTAGATTCAACAAAAGATCCGAAATATAAACTAACCCACGTAGATTAAGGACAAAACAGATTAGTAGGTCAAGAGATTGTAATAAGAAACGCAAAAGAAACCAAGTTCGGACACAACTAAACCAAAATCAGACACAAGTCACAGATACAACATCAGGAAAGGAAATAAAAATTGTAAATCCAACCAAAGATCCGAAATTTAAACTAAGCCATGTACATTAAGCACAAAACGGATAAGGAGGTCAAGAGATCAGAACCAAAACTCATGAACCCATGAATTCTAAATAAATTCAGACAGCAAAACACACAGATTGACCGAGTCAACGCAAACGAGAAACACAGATAGATTAATCAAAATAATGGGCTAAAACGAGAACAAAACCTGATCTTTAAGAGACAAAACATCCACTTGCGTCTCAACAACGATCTGGATCGAGGTACTCATGGCAGACGAAAGGATGAAGAAGAAAATTGGATCTCTCAGAATCTGAGAACGAAAGATTAGATGATAAGAAGAAAAAAATATTCCTTTTTGAAATTTATTACGCAACCAGACGAAAAATCAAATCGAGTAATCTGATGAAGAAGAGTCTATAGCTCAGAGAGATAGAAAGAGATGAAAGTGATATAAAAATGATTTAGAGACCTAAAGGAGAGCAAAGAGCAGAGAGGAATCGGGAACCGCCGCAGATTAAGACCACCGCTTCTCCACCAGCAAAATCGAGCGGTGTTTAGAAAAAAAAAACCTAACGCCTACGCTGTTTATTTATTTAATTTATTTATTTGTATTGAGTCCATAAATCGTGGAAAATTTTAATTATTATAGAGCTATTTAGGTGAATATACATGGAAAACAATTTAATTAGGTATCTAGCAACATACGGTTGCCGTCGAAATGCAAGGAAATGAAAAACCTTTAGTGCCCTTAATTTGAAATACAGACAGAAACTGACAGTGTCAGCTTAGGGCTCTGTTGCACCTCTGGAGTAATTATTCATGTAGACCTAGCTACTCTACAGAAAAAATTTATTCCTCCATTGCATGCAAAATCAATCAAACGTATCAACTCAATAATATAAACCGAGAAGAGAAAACCAGATTTAGAAGCTAGTCACAAAAAATTCCTAGAAAAATTAGGGTTCTTAGCAATGTCGGTGGCGGAGATAAATTGTTTGCAAATTCCTTCGGAGGTTGTAAACCCGGATATGATTCCAGGAATCATGTTTGGTTCCGTAGAAGAACCAGTGGTGCTTGGCAGTGTAACTAACGGAGATTGGTCGTGTGACTATTGGTGCTTTGCTGTGGCAAGAAGGAGCACTCAATGGGTTTTATGGCAGTGTTGTCCGTTTTATAGTGAAAGGCTGTGAGTTACGATGAAACACGGCGACTTAATTCAACTTGACGAAACAAAATCTAAATTATTTCAAATCTATCTTAGATCTATTTGTCTATATCAAAATGAAAAGAAATCTGCTATAAAAAGTGAAAGATCAAGAAAAAAAACAGAAATATTCATTTTGAACCAGAAAAGTTGCAGGTTGAAAAAGAAGAAAATGTTATTTGAACTACGATTTTGCCATTACTTACAAGAAAAAAAAAATTAAAAACACATGACATACAACCCTGCTTTTTTGAAATCGGAAAGAGTCACTTACCACTTAAACTAACGCATATTATTAACCGGATTAACTTGCCTAGTAAATTAATAACAAAATATAGAAAGTTCAAAATTAAAGAATTGGTTTGCAGATTGATGGGATTATCGACTAATGTACGGATCATTATAATGTTAACCAGATACATATATATGAATCCAGATATTTAACCACTTATACATGTAGGTAAAAGAGTAGTAGAATATCTAATTAGATCATTCAAAACAAATAATCCGGATCATTTGAAAAAGAACCCGAATAATCCGGATTATAATGATAATATCCAAACAACAATTCTTTATACTTGTAAAGTAAATACATATAAGCCGGATAATATATTATGAAACCGAGTTAATAATTAGAATAAATGAAATAATATAAATTTGTAACTTTTAACCGAATATTACAAAGTTAATCCAGCTAAACTTGTGATAGCCGACAAGATCTTTTTTGGTTAGTCAAGATTTTAATTCCAGATGTCTGTAAATAAAACCGGTATTAAAAGTATTTCAGATACAAAATAAATGGAGATAGATATGCAAATATGGTGTCAGACATCATAAAAGACAAAGTAAGAAAACATTAAGCTCCATAAACTAGAAAAAAAATTCAACCAAAATGATTGATGAAAAAAAAAATTGATAGCTCAAACTTGGATCATCACGCAACTTCCGCTCATCTTCTCGGCACAACCACAGTCCATTATTAGTCTTCTGAGCTACCATGTTCAATAGAAACAAATAGAGTCAGTGGATATTTGATTGGTTCCCTATCACAAAAAGAATCTGGCTAATGAGAGATATAAATCCATCAGCATTGCTGCAATAAAAACAGCATAGTTGTAGTCCTTCAAAGTCTCATGGAACCAAAGTCAGAGGGAACTACAGTCAAGTGTTAATGTGACCAATTAATTGTTACTGGCAGGGTAAATGAAAAAACATAACATCATATCGATACTTTTCATAAGATCCAAAACTAATCACCATATTTTTGCATTACAATCCAAGTTATAACTTTGACAAACAAAAAATTAGAGAGTTTCCATTATATAGATGATAATAAAGAAATGGATACTTACTGATAATAAATCATCAAAATTTTAACACAACATCAAAACCATGGAAACAAGCTAGATTTTAAAGAGGAAGAAAATGGATTTATGGTTGAGTTATGTAACTGGAAAAAAAATTACCTGATAAACAATATGCTTCCAAATATCAAGATCTGAAAAGAAGAAGCAAAATCTATCAAAACACGTCTATTATATATATATTTTTTTTTAAATGTTAAGAATTGCACAGAGGTTTCAGATCCATATCTAAAGCACTTACTCAATAAAAAATAGCTTCATATCTAGCACGTTTAGGGGACATGATTTGACAGTTCTGACTCACTTCACTGACAAGGCTATGGCCCCAACTTCGTTTATAGATAATCAAAGAGGCTGTCAACAAGGCTAAGGAGGACAATTCGCAAGGATCGTATAAAAATCGTATATCTAGTTACCTAAATACAAAAAGATCATAGTCATTTACCTAATTAAAATGTCTTTCATGTGCATAGAGTGCAATTGCTCATTATTATATACGACAAAAAATATTTATTTATATATTTCATTTTTAAAAAATCCATGTGATATTAAAAACATTTTAATATCGAAAGCAGTTGTCAAATAACCAAAATGTATGAAAATAGTAGGAAAAGATTAAAAAGTTAATTTTTCCGTTTCATAAAAAATAAAAAATGTCATTTTGAAATATTTCACGAAAACTAAAAAATTAAAAATACATTAATATATCTCTATTTAATGTATTACTAAATAAATTAAAAGAATATTAAAAAAATATTGGTTATTAAAAAAATAAAAAATGAATTTAATGTATAAAATTGCATTGGAAACATAGAATTTTTTTTAGAACAAAAAGATAAAATTGAAATAACACTTATTATGAAATATAGAGAATACTGAACAAGAGCATTTCTGCATATAGTTGAAAGGATATTTGCAGAAGAGGTAGAAAGAGAGGAAAGTAAGGGAAAGCTAATCATACATTAACAAAAGATTAAACTGGTTGAAATGTGTAATACAAAAGTTTTTCAAATTTGTTAACTGGTTATAAGAAATCAACTAACAAAAGGACTGTGACTGGTTCAAGCAATATACATAAATCATCTCTGGCAGTAGAGGACTGGTTCAAAGTAGTGTCTTTAAACATTGGGTATTATCATCAGCTCAAGCTTGCCACAACGAGCTGAGTTTTGTTGCCAGCTTTGCACTCTTATAGTCTTCCCGCAGTTGTATAAACCTGTCAAACACACATAAACATCTCATTTTATAATTGAATCAACAAAACATTGCTCTTTCTCTACTCTTCTCTTATTTTCATTCTTTTATCTTTAATAATATTCCTCTCTTACCTTTGTGCGTCTTTGCGGATGCTTGGACTACCCTCAAACAACGTCGACAGACTTTCTGGAGCAACGATGAATACGTTCGCCATTCTACACTCACACACACACAAGTTGTTACAATAATTATTCTAAAAAATTTAAAGTGACTGAAATTTAAATAAGAATCAAGAATGTTATTACATTCCCAGGAGCTCAAATTTCTCCTCCACAGATGGAACACTGAACCTCTTAACAAAATCTCCATACTCGTTTATGTCACGCTTCAGCCGTAGTCCTCCACTATTCATACCACACACAGAACAGAACCAAGGTTTATTCACACAAGACCATTGATTTTTTTCTTTTACATTTTGCAATAGAATGGATACTGTTAGTTAATGCGGCCAGAGTTTGCTGTGACAAAATTTTATACCATGAGGTGCAACTACATCAAATACTGAGATTGAATTTTACCTGGGATTGAATGTGAACTTCTGCCAGTGAGTTAGTAGTAGTTTGTCTAACCTATTTCCCTGAAAATACCAAAGAAAATTTACTTTCAATTCTCACCCTTCTTATAATAAAGACATCAGTCATATGATGCAGAAAACAAATTATCCTTTAGCTATTAATTTTTGGTGATAAAAAGCATACCAGTTCAGTCAGGAAGGCTTGCTTATTAAGACCTTCCAAAGCAGTGAAGGCTGACTCAAGTACCCGGGAGAGATAAGCCACCACTCTACACACAAATGGGTGGAGTTAGATATCACAGTAACAAGTTCATTGGAAATGATATTAAAAAGAGCACCGTGTTGAGAGATGACCAATACATGTCATATAAAACGGTTTCGTAAACTACAAAGTACACTAGGAACAAGCACACACTTCTGGCTTTTCACACCGGAAAAAAAAGAGTGAAAGACTCCATGACCACTAGAGGAAGGTAGAGTTTGAGATCGACCAACCTTATGCAGGCATTTGTTGGGCGGTGATCAGGAGAAAATCCATCATCAGGTGATTTATAATCTGTAGCCATCTGCTCAGCTGAAAGCAGTCTTTCAACCTAATAGTAAGGCAAATTTTAAGCATGACTCTTGAGACCTGTTCATCATTGATACTCAAGGATCTCCGCTTGTAGATTACACAAAAAAAACAACAACTAACCTCAGATATCACAGTTTCAATGCACTGTTGGAGTCCTTTGTAAGCAGCAACCTCTGCTTTGGACAGAGCCGTTGACATTTCTTCACACGAAGCTGCATGTGCACCATCCACTGGTAGGAGAAGCCGAGAAATAGAATTTGCAAAATACTGGAAAAAACAACAACATTATAGGATTACAATAGGGGCCACAATATAGAATTTCAATAGCAAAAGACTAAACTATTGAATATTTCTATTAAATAATTGAAACAAACTGATAACCATAAAAACATGCCTGCTGAACTATAGCAACACTGCTACCACAACGTTGCACAGCAATCATGAAGGTTTTAAAGCTATTTTCACCAGCAGCAGCAGCTGCTTCTGCCTGAGAAATAATCAAAAGGAATTATAAGTAGCTCTTCCTAATGAAGACTTCAAATAGTGGGAAAGAGTAACGTGAAGTAATTACCGCAGAAACAGCTGCCGCAGCCACTCTTCGGCTAAGTGTGCCCAAAACAAATCTCTCCCTTAATCCTGCAGCTTCAGACAGGCCATCCCTTGCCCGTTCAAGTCCCTCAGTTATGTATACGCTCACCTGCAAGAACTCATCACTGCATTAGCACAATGAGTATGAGTGATTATAGAATCTTATTGAACAGCATACCTGATCTAGCAGGCAAGTAAATATGGCTTTAACATTGGCTGCAAGTGTGGCTGGCTGCACAAAGAAAAAAAAATTATATTGATCAAATATACAAATCCCAAATGCGACAAATAATATACTGTCAGATGCTGACAAAAAATATACTGTCAGATAAGTTTGTCAATATCCTAATTATTCTCATAAATTGTTTAACTTCAGTAACCTGAGATGACAACAGTGAGCATCTGGATATTGCTTCTTCACTCCATCTAACAAACTCCGTCACAACAGTGACTGCTATCTGCTGCTGAGAAGATGATATTGAAGCACCCTTAGAGCGTCCTATTGTCCCAGATGACTCCGAGCCTTGCTGACTCTCAGCACGTAACTCTTCCATCTGTAGAGTAACACACATATCTAAGCACTTCACATTAATAAACAAAATAAAAACTGACTTCAATGAGAAATGAAGAAAGTCTTATTAAAACCTTTGCTTGATACAGTTGTTTTAAGGAGGCCCGTTCATGCTCAGGGTATTCATCCTTGTGTGAGGAAAACAAGGACTCTGTCAAATCTGCAACCAGTCAAAAATAAAGACTGTTAGCACCAACGAATTTTTTTGCATGACGACACAAGAGAAACCAAAATGACCTTCAACATCCAGGTCACCACATCCAACAGCTCGGAGATCTTTAGCTAGTTCTTGGGTTCTCTCATATGCAACCGCTAACATTCTAAGGTACTATAACAGAAACCAAAAGTTAACTTTCTTATCCCATTTATAGTAGGCAGATAGACAAGAAACAAGATAGGGAGGTATCTACACACTAGTAATAGTCCGCCTTCTTGCACAGGTGGCGGAGTCATAAGAGAAGGCTTCACCAAAATTTTGTCAAGAATACCTGTGACCCGCTGCTCGAGAACTCTCTGCGTAAAATAAAAGAAGAGTTGGTATTAGCTTATTCATATGCCGAGGTCACACTACTGTATCCAATTCATTGGTTCCCATTTACCTGAACTAAGATCGCCATAACTTCATTTGGAGCGGGGAAAACAGCTGTAATGGTCGCCGCTTCTTTGCGTACAGTGTCTACACATGAGAAGTAACAGAAGATATGAATCAGCATGGAAGCAAGTTTCAAGTATTGCATCCAGATCACTGGCAATCCTTCAGACCTGTAATTTCTTTGTATAGCGAAGAAAGTCCCCGGGAAACATTGCTAGGACTAGGCTGAGAACCGTCGTCACCAAACACCAACCTAATATCTGAATTCATGACTTCCACATCGATAAACATTGGACGTGTTGCCACATAATGTTGCATGGCACTTGTACCCCTGTTAAACTGAAAATCAAGAAGAAGAAAATTAAAATATCAAGAAGCATATACAAGAGCAGCATGCTTCAGTGTAAAGTAATTCACCTGTGACAAAATCTTAGCACATTCTGACATGGTGGATAAATCTCTCCGCTGTGATGCAGCATCAAAACGCGATAAAAGCCTGTTCTCCAATTCTACAACATTGTATTCAACATGTCACGAAGGTTGAATTTGAGAATACACTAATCCTCTTCACTCATAGTGAATATTCAAAATAGTTTACCATTACAGTAATCCTGAAGATTAGCAACTGCAACTTCCAGTCCTCGACCAGGGGTTGCATTTCCTGCAGCACCTTGCCTTCCAATGTCTTCCTCGGCAAATGATCCTTATATTAACAAAGGGAGCATCAAAATAAATTATAGCCCAATTTAACTGTAAGCTTTCATAAATAGAATATAGCAACCACATCATACGTAATTTCTGAGCAATAGAAGCAGCCTCAGCTACACGGCTATCATCAGAAAACAAAGCGGAAAGCTCCATAAGATCTCCTGGGCTGCCGTTGAACTCCATCAGGTACTGCATTTATTGAGCCAGGATTACTTTAAGCATTCATCTAACTAATTAACCAAGCTTCCAACATAGATGCGGTCTTACCTTTATAAGCTCTATCGTCTGGCTAGCAGTTTCCCGCTGAGAATCTGCACTCTGAGAGAGGAAGAAGCATAGGGGGTCAATATTGGATAGATCACCAAATAGTCGTTACATAGAGGACTAAATTTACCTGTAAATGATCTCCTATCTTTGCAGCGGTCTGTCCAACACTAGAAATACGACCGTCCAACCTTGCAAAGCTCTCAAACAAACCATCCACACCTTTCTCTATCTAAAAAGAGAATCCTTTCAATCCAATTCAAGAAATATAATGAAATAAAAAGTGTTTTGACTAACAAACCTCAGTCAATGTCTTCCGGTGTTTGGCATCTTGGGTTGAAACTTCCTTTTTTAGTGTACTGAGCCTCCCATCAACCTTCCAAAAAAAACATGTTAACAAAAGCCTTAAATTTTCAGAAGGAGAAAGAAAGAAACCAATACACAAACTCACCTGCTTCCGAAGATCAATTAACTCCTTGCAAGAATCTTTAAACAGAGACAAGAGACCATCCACTTCAGGAAAAAAAGGAGCAGAAGACATCTGAGAGAACCTAGACGCATCAGGTTGCCCACGTAAATGCCCATTTGCCAAACCATCAATGTTTCCATGGCCATCACCTGAATCAGCTTCTTCTTCCAGGAAAGAAGGCAAGAGATCATTCACCAGGTTTCCAAATAATGCATCAAAAGAAAAGTCTCCCTGCCAGAAGTGACCAAAACAAATTAAAATCCTTTAACATAAACAACCACAAAGGTGAAGCCTTTACCTTGAAATCTTCAATGTCAAGTATCAGAGGACCAGAGTTAGCAGAGGATGATGATCTGGGACCTCTTGTTCCTCTCGTTCCTTCTGTCATCTGATGAAAATTAGAAAGCAAAAAAAAGAACATTTAAGTCTGAGAGATCATATGAACGAACATTCAATAATGACGCGTCAGATTCTAATAACAAAAAAATGACTGTGGCATCAAAAAGTCAGCACATTTAATAACTATCTCAGATGAATGCTACAAAGTCAGAACTAAGGACGACCCATCTCGCGGAGAACGATACGGGAGAGAAGGTTTTGTTATGGAGGAGCTTACCGGCGGTGAAGAGGGAGATCTAGTCGGCGGAGACCGGTTGGTTTGGAGAGAAAGACGGTCAGCTTTGGCGGAGTTTTTGACATTTTCTACAATGCTGTTAATTTGTTATTAGTAGCCTGGTTAATTTTTTAACCGGCCCGGTTACTTTCTGGTTCAGGGTTTAGATTGTTTGTTTAAGCATCTACAGATTTACTTTTTTTTTACTGAAAATCCAATCGCAAATCTTTTTTGCTAAGTAAAATTCAATTTTTTGGTGATTTAACAATTGTAACCATAGTTAAATTTGAAGATAAATATATTGAGATAAAAGTTTAGAATTTTTTCATTATTGTTTAGAGTTTAATATTTAGGAGTGAGTTGAATTTAAAGATTAGATTTTCTCAAATAATCTTCATTAAAAATTAGAAAACAAATATATTTATCTAATTAGAATTAAGATTTAATGCTTAGAGTTTAATGTTTTGTATTGATAGGTGGAATTAAAATAAAATTTGAAAATAAGGTAATTTAATATTTTTATTTTAGGGATATTTTGATTGCTCTATTTTGTGATAAAAATACTTACAATATATTTATGAAACTTTCTCTAATAGTAAAATATTATTTCCAAAAAAAACAAAACAATTATTCCACAAATATCATCATGCAGATTTAAACTTATCATAGAAAGGTAAAAAATCACACACTTTGACCAGAGAATTTGTTAAATAAGCGTTACTCTGCAAAAACACTTCTCTTTCTACTTCCCCTTCTTCCCCGTAGAGAGAGAGAAACCAAAAAAAAAAAAAAACAAACAAGAGAGAGAATCTCCGTCCCCCCCTCTCTCTCTCCTCTGCACGTTATAAGCGTTTCTCCTCTTTATCTCCATCCCCCTTTTTCAGACTTTAACCAAAATGACTTTGCTTCGCTTCGTCGATTCATAGATTCGTTTCGCGAAAATGGAGTTGGTGGGGAGAGTCGTTAGAAAAGAGATCGAAGGGGTCGGGCTATGCTCCGGGACGGTTCGATCTCGCGATTCGTCTGGATTCTTCGAGATCGTTTACGAGAACGGCGTTACGGAGATCTCTGATTCGGCTGAGGTCACTTCTCTCCTCGTGGATGAGATCAAGCGTGGGAATGTTGTTGATTTGAATCGTGGTTTTGAGGAAACCCTAGGTGTGGATTTGAATAGGACGGTGGTTGAATCGGAAAACGGATTTGATGTAACGACTGGGTTGGATTTGAATTTGAATGAGGGGGTAGGGTTGGTTAATGTTGATATTGATTATGAGGAGGATAGGAAGAGGGGGTTTATTGATTTGAATATGGATGCGGGATGTGATTTAGAGAATGTGTGTAAGAGGGAGGGAGGGTTTGATTTGAACGTGGAGGTTAGCAAGGATGGGAGTGATATAGTTCAAGAAGTCAACATGCAGGGTTTGGAGGATAATCATGAGACTGGAGAATGTAGAGAAGTTCATGTTGCTGAAGTGTCTAGTGTTCAGCTTTTGGAGGAGATAGGGAAGAAGAATGGTGTTTCCCTGCAGGATCTCAATACTCCTAGTGCTAATGGAGCTGAGCGGGAGAATGATGCTAAGACTGTTGATAAGTCTCTCTCTGATAGGGATGAACATACAAGTGGGAGGAGGAAAAGAAGAAAACGTGTGGAGAGTCAAGACTTCACGAGTCAACCTCGGTTGAGGAGAAGCGCTCGTAGAATGTTAGCTGGGTTCACTGTTACACCTTGCGTAGCTGATGAAGTTGTATCCCCTTCTCCGTCAGTTAGTAGTCTGACAGACGAGAAAACTTTGATCGTTGATGAGAAACCTGAGGATATGTCTGTGCTTCCGCCAAAGCCAGAATTACCTCCGTCCTCGCGTATTTTGAATTTAGATGGTCTTCCTATACTTAAGGTCTTCACTGCTTACTCTTGCCTGAGGTCATTCAGTACTTTGCTGTTTCTGAGTCCCTTTGAGTTGAAGGATTTTGTGGAAGCGCTGAGGGGAATGTCTCCTAGTCTATTACTTGATAGCATCCATGTTTCGGTCTTGCAACTATTAAGAAAACGTTTGAAACAACTCGTTGATGAAGGTGACCGATCTGCGTCTGCTTGCCTGAGGTATGGTTACTATTTTCTGTTTTAGCGTAATGGTTACTTAAATTTTATTGCTCTTTTATGGACATAAGCTTATCTGGTTTTGGTTCTCATCTGCTGCTCGTGTGTTAAATGCAGGAGTCTTGATTGGGATACATTGGATGTGGTTAATTATCCCCTTTTTGTGGTCGAATACCTGCTATTTATTGGGTCTAAGGACAACCCCGGAGTGGATCTAGCTGGATTTAAATATTTGAGAAACGAGTATTTCAGACAGCCCATGAATCTGAAAATTGAGATACTTAGCCGTTTATGTGAGGATATGGCAGATGCTGAAGTTGTGCGATCAGAGATTGATAAAAGATCTTTTGCAGCTGAGTCTGAAATGGAAACTGACAGGAAGACAAATTCAGAAGTGAGACGCAGAAAGCGAGCTATGATGGAGCTGGCAGATGATCTTTCTTTGAATGATGAGATCATTGATCTCTCGTTTGACCGGAACAGTGACTACTGTTGTCTTTGTAAAATTGATGGGAACTTACTTTGCTGTGATGGTTGTCCGGCTGCCTATCATTCTAAGTGTGTCGGTGTTGCCAGTGACCTTTTGCCTGAGGGTGACTGGTACTGTCCTGAATGTGCATTTGATCGGCTTGTACCAGGATTAAAGCCAGAAAAGCAAATTCGAGGAGCAGAGTTTATAGATATTGATCCCCATGGCCGAAGATACTACAGCAGTTGTGGCTTCTTATTGGTGTAAGTTTCTTTCTTTTGATTCTTTTGTTCTAAGAAGGGTTAGTGCATGATCTCAGTGGAATCAATTTAGTAGAGTCACCACTAGAATTTTTTGCTTCAGTAAATAAATAACCTTTGTAATGATAGTAGATATTTTTGCTTTCTTACCTCAGTGGTACATAGTTGTGATGATGTCTTGCGAGCACTGTAGACACATGTTGATTATATGCCAGAGCTCGTAAGTGAAGGTTTTAGCTTTAAAAACAGTCCCTATTTTAGCTAGCTGGAGCATTAACTAGAATATGAATATAACATGATAAAACTGTCGTTCCTGTACATATTCCAGTAAGTTGAATTGCATGTTTGGGCATTTGAATCGCCTCTTTTGCTTGTTATTTAGTTGCAGTATCTCTCATGGAATGTTTCTTATCATCTACGTCTAGGAACTTATTTCATATGCTGAGTGTAGGAACTTCTATATCTGTTCATAGGTTGTCTGATGTTGTCCACTATGAATTTGCAGGATAGATACAGACGGCTCAGGCACAGTGAACTACTACCATGTGAATGATGTGATCCTTGTATTGGAGCAGCTCAAGTCATGCGGTAGTTTCTATCTTGGCGTAATAAATGCAATTAAAAATCACTGGAATATCCCTGTTGGGCTGAAAAGGACAATCAGCGGTGTGAATTCACCAATGTCCGTATGCTTGGATAAGTCAGCCAAAGGAATGGTTTCTTCTATTGATGGGTTCGATGCTTTGTCGCCAGCTCCAGAAAAACAGCCAACATCTGGTGTTAAAAAAAGGCTGGACGAAACATTTAGCAATGGAGGTCCACATAATCTTCGTCATAGGACTCGTCGGAAGATATCAGATTCAGCTACTGGACTAGATATCCATAATTTGAGTTCCGAAGGCTCTGCTGAAACTGTACAAAATGGTTTGGTTGTTATGAATGAGCCAAGTTTAAATATGCATGCATCTTCCCATGATTTGGCTAGAATGAACACAAGGAAAGGAATTAGACAGAATGTGCAGAGCGAAACAGGCTACCGAAACCAGTACATATTTGCTCAGATGACTACAGCAATTTCTGAAGAGCTGGCGCGTAAGTCAATTAGCCGCACCAGTGATATGCGATCTGATGAAGAGATAACTTCTACCCAGGTGAAGACTATATTGATGAAAACCACCAAATTTCAATGGCGAAACATCCAAGACCTCTACCTAGATGCATGGAAAGAAAAATGTGGATGGTGTCATTCTTGCAAATCTGAGGATGTGGGGAGTGAGACAAATTGTTTGTTTAACATGAGTCTCGGGGATTTACGGAGTCCTTCGGAAACTGAAGTTGCGAACTGTCAATCCATTGATAAGAAAAGTCATCTTGTGGCTATCATTTGCCAGATGTTATCCATGGAAAGTCGATTGCAAGGTCTTTTGGTTGGTCCATGGTTGAATCCACAGCACTCGAGAAGTTGGCGTGAACACATTTTGAACGCATCAAGTATATCAAGCTTGAGACATTTATTAGTTGAAGTAAGTTTTTCTCAAGCTTTCCATTTCCAATGGCATTGTCATTTTTGTGGCGAAAGTCAAATCTTCTTCACTATAGTTTCCTGCTCCGGAGAACTTGAGCTTTAGTTTGTTTTCTTCCTACTTGAACTAATCATTTTCTGGTAAAATTTTTCTATGTGCCTAGGGATGTTGAATGTTTTGTTTCTTCTCCATTTGATTAAGATTTAACTATCTTCAGAAGTCTTTTAAGTAGGGTTTCTTGAGTAGCTGATTGTTGTGTAGAGCATTAGTGATAAATCCCGGGTGTGCGCCAACTTTTCGTTTCCTAATGAATTTTTTTTGTGAATTACCTCTGCAGTTAGAGGCAAATTTGCATCATCGCGTTCTTTCACTTCAGTGGCTAAACCATGTCGATTCTTCCGTAGAAATGGGCTCTTCTAGACATATTATCATTGCTTCAAAGACTGCTAAAAGGCGGGGGACATTGCTGGAGTCAGGTGTTAATCCTACTGCAAAGAAAAATGGACTGGCCATGTGTTGGTGGAGAGGCGGCCAAATTTCACGGAAATTATTCAACTGGAAGGTTTTACCTCGCTCTTTGGTCTCGAAGGCTGCTAGACAAGGTTTATATTTTCTCCTTTGTTCTCGTCGGTTTCACGTTTGTTTTCTACTGTGTTTAACTCTTCACTTCCATTTACTTGTTTCATTTTTTATGCACTCTACACTATGCAGGTGGAAGTATGAATATTCCAGGGATACTGTATACTGAGAATTCAGAGCCCGCTAAGAGAAGCCGGCGTGTTGCCTGGGAAGCAGCTGTTGAGTCATCTACGACTTCAGAGCAGCTCGGATTTCAGGTAATATGAACTTGGTCAAACCGAATGTAATTCTTGTTTCGCTGCTACTGATTAGAATAAGGGTGTATTGGTAATGGACATCCTGTCAAGAATTTTGGTTTCCGTTTGCTCGACGCATGAGTGTAGATGGTCAAACTGAATGAGATCTTAAGTTTTTTTGTCTACTCCAATTGTCATATTTCGGTGAAGCAGATTTAATTTTAGTGTTGTCATTACATGGTTACTTCACTGGCAGTTGCAGTTTTATACACTTATCACTTGTCTTGTTCCACTGTCTTCGATAAATATGTCTACTTGTGGGATGAGCCTTGGACGACTTTCAACTAACAATTCAGTGATTTATAGGTGAGGACACTCCATTCTTACATAAATTGGGATGATATTGAAAACACCCATCTTCTTCCTCCATCGGACAAAGAGTCCAAAAAATCTGCCAGGCTGTTCAAAAAAGCAATTGTCCGTAGGAAGTGCATAGAGGAAGAAACTGTGAAATATCTACTTGACTTTGGTAAACGGAGAAATATTCCGGATGTTGTGTTGAAGAATGGTCGCATGATTGAAGAATCCTCGAGTGAAAGGAAAAAATTCTGGCTGAATGAATCATATGTGCCTTTGCATCTTCTGAAAGGATTTGAAGAGAAAAAAGCTGTACGTAAAACTAGTAAGCCAGGAGGCTCCTTCAGACACTCTGAGATAGACAAAGTACAGAAAACGTCCTCAGAGAGAAAAGGATTCTCATACCTATTTGAAAGGGCAGAAAGACCTGAGGTCTCTTTGTGTGAGCAATGTAAAAAAGATGTGCTGTTGAGGTATGTACTTATCACAACCCTTTTTGCCTTCAAAAGTCCGTGTTTTGATTAGCGTAGCAATCGTATGTTGACTAAGCTCGAAAAGGATTGTCGCTTGGACTCTGCGTAACACCTGATTGCATGGCTTTTGACCGACAAACATATCTTTTAGTTTTTTTGTTTGTTTGTTGAGTAATGATTTTTCTTAACTTCTTTTTAATGGTGTTTGTTTTCCTTCAATGACAGTGATGCTGCGGGCTGCCACATCTGCAAAGGTGAGTCTTTTGCTGTTGTTTTCTTGTTAAAGATTTTTTTTTTTTCGTTGCAAATGCTATGCGTGTAAGGTAATCTAATAAGAACCTAGCCCATACATACATAACACAAAAAATACTCCAATTGCAAGGAGTAGACACAAGAAATAATTAAACATTGTGATCCTAAAGGCAATCGAATTCACTAACCAATGTGATCCCGTTAGGACCATGTATCTTTATTCCAAAAGGCAACTTGATAGTGTCCATAGAATTTTTAGTAGTTAGACTCGATCCTAATCAAGGGGTGGCTCCTAACATGATCTTTCAGAAACAAAAATATTTTGTGAGAGCTTGTTATTGACATTACCTATGATATATATTTCAGGATTATTTCACAAAAAGCATATCAGAAAAGCGGATAAAGAAGGCAAGTACATCTGTCTTGCATGCAGAAGCGAAGTCCTAGCAAAAGAACAACCCATCGTACGTAAAAGAGGGCGGCCCCCAGGGAGTTTCCGTAAAAAAATTGGAGTTCAGACACAAAAGCGTAAAAAGGTTGTCATACCTGCTCGCAAATCAGTTCGGCTAAAGAAGACTAAAACGTCACTGGCAGAGAGAATCTCTGTTAGGTCAAAGAATCGTAAAAAGGTTGTTGCAAACAAACCATTGCGACGTTCAGGCAGGAAACCGAAGCATGTTACTCGGCTGCAGGATGAAAGTCCAGTTCCTGGAGGGAGTAAGAAACGGAAACTGGAAACCAAAAGAGGCAGAGGCAGGCCTAAGAAAGTTAAAGAAGAGCCCAAAAGAAAGAAGAGAACAGAAAGGAGCTTTAGCTATTGGTTGGATGGACTTAGCATATCAAGAAAGCCTGATGATGAACGGGTCAATAAGTTCCGGAGAGATGGATGTTCTAAACCCTTGGAGAACTCGGATTCTGATCAAGTTCAACGTCAGTGTCGTTTATGCGGCTCCACTGACTCCGAATCCGGATCAACTTTCATCGCTTGCGAACTCTGTGAAAGTAAATCCATTTTCTTACCTTCTTTTGGTTCACCATGATTAAAATTGCAGGAGTTGGTTTCGTTTTTTCTAAGCCTTATTGTTTTCTCTTTTTGTCTGTAATGTTTGTTAGAATGGTACCATGGAGATGCATGTGGGATTAATGAGAAGAACTCAAGCATGGTGATTGGATTCCGGTGCCATCTCTGTCGTGAAAAGCCTTCTCCCACCTGTCCACATATGAGATCTACTACATCCCCTGACCCATCCTGAGCTGTGAATTTGTTAAAGGTGATAGGATATGCTTAGGCGGGGGATTAAGTTAGAAAAATCAGAGTAGAGGATCAAAACAGAGGAGGCAAATGTTTGGTGGTAGTATGAAGTTATGTTGGGATTGTTACTTGGATGAGTAGGTACTAAAGTGAAGTGGTCGACTTAGAATTAGATTGAACAAAAAAAATGATTCAAGAACCAGAGTTAATGTTAACATTGATTTCGTTTTGCTTTTCAGAATGGAGGGAGTTAGTAAAGATGTGACTGTATGTAAAGAATATGTTGAATCCATTTTCTACCAAAAACGATTGGTAGCTTTTTACCAAATGTAATTTGTACCCTGCTATCTTCATCACTAAAGCAATTTAGTTCTCCTCCCATTAGCGTATCAGTGGTGTTTGTGTGTTTGAGAGCATTAGCCAACAGTGAAGTAATCTCAGTTCCTCTTTAACTTGATTTTCTTGGATTTGCCAAAGTTTTTAACTCGGTATATAGGCGACAGAGAAGATGCTTTTAATAACTCAAATTTACTTCTTTGAAACCTGTGATTTTGTTTGGTTGAGACACCATTCAACAAAATCAAGCCTCAGTTATTGTGTTGAACCAAACATGTTCTATGCTGATAGACGGCCAAGCTTCGTCAAAGAGAAAATTTTATTGATCAGACAAATGATCTAACTAATCACTAGTGCTTTATAAGCCAGAATAATCTATAACACCACGAGTAAATACAAAGCATCTTAGTCTTGGACTCTTGAGAGACAAAACAGAAAATGAGATTGTCAATTGGTCGACGTGAGCTGCCTGAGATTGTACTTTGCCAGCTCCTTGTACTTCTCTACCACCCCAATTAAGCATACTGTCTGTACAATTGCAACACCATCCGCTTTTTGAGTTTATATAACTTGTAAATGCAAAAACACAAGACATTAACATTTAATCCCTTACCTTAACAATTTCAACCACGATCGACATCTCTGGATTGCTCAAATCAACTTTGTGAGGGGCAGGTATAGATTTGGCCACCGTGTTTATTACTTTCATCCTATCAACGCCTGTGTTTGCACGCGCTCCAAACAACACAGCAAACTGCAATAACAGTGAAAGAGAGAGAGAGAGAGATAAGCATTTTCGAAATGTAGGAAAGGATAAACAATAATGGTGCCAATAGTATAATTACTTTCCGGGGGTTATCAGTCTCAACGGGAAAATACTGTTCTACAAGAGGCTTGATAGCTCTTGAAATATCTTCCTCTGAAGGATAACACGACACTTCAATTGGCACAAGTCTTAGAATGAACCTAAACGTCACAAGATATATTAGCAAAACAAAAGGCATAACAGTTATAGAATTCTTGGTATAATGGAGATTTTTTTGAGTAAGATCAAACCTTGACATATGTTTTTTTGTTGCAGCAGCAGAAGTCAATCCATGTTGTACGATATCTTTAGGACTTGGGTCACCATCTCTCCTCTTCATTTGGATGAAGGCAATACCGTTGCAACCCGGGTCTAACTTCATAAACCGTCTCTGTCAAAATATGGATAATAAGACACTTACGATCCAAAAAGAGATTAAAACATACATTTAAAGAAACTCATAGACAGTAGCTTACCTTACTCTTGTCTCCGAGCTCTTTTAGTTCAGCATCAATCAGCTTATCAATAGACTTCTCTGCATTCCCATTTACTTTTGTTGATTCACTTGCTTCTTCTATACATGTCTTCTTTCTTGGAGGTTCTTCAACACCGTTCTTTTCTTTCACTTCTTCTTCTTCTTCCTTCTCATTCTTAGTTTCTGCCAATTGTTTGACTTCACATGAACCTTCACTTGCTATTTCTTTCTCATTCACTTGATTATTCCCAACTTCACTCACTTCTGTCTTATCCCCACCTCCTTCACTCAGTTCTGTCTTATCCTCAACCTCTTTATGTTCCTCTTTACCGCCTTCACTCACTTCTGTCTTATCTCCATCCCCTTTATTTCCCTCTTCCTCGCCATTATTACTCTCATCTTCATCCTCATCGTCACTATACGAAAATGTAACCTTTTTGTTTACAGGGTTCTCAAGCAACCCATAAGAGTTCATTTTCAAGCCCGTCCCATGCATTAGCTCCTCAAAAAACTGTTAACATATACACAATTTACTCAACTCTCTAAGTGGGATTCTAATAAAGACCTCAGCTTTATGGAAGAAACAGAGACACTCTAAGCAAAGTATGAACAGCTAATTCGGAGATTAAATCAATTTAAGGGAGAAAAGAGATAAACTTTACGGAATCAATGACGTTAATAGCTTCCTGAGAAGCTTGGAACTCGCGTCCGCCATCGCAGGAGATGAAGAAACCTTGTACCCCTGGCTTTAAAGGGTAAGCTCCCTTCTTCTTCGCTGGTCTCTGCATCAACAACAATCAAGCAAAATTAGCTGCAGGTTTATAGAGAAACGTTGTGTGGGAGAGAACGGATACATTCTGAGGGAGATAACGCTGCTTTCTCTTCTTGCTCTGGTCACCGGTAGTCATTGTCGGAGACGGAGACGGGTCTTTTCTGAGTTTCAGACAAAACACAGTGACAATGCAAACATTACTAAGGTTACGCCGGTGCGAGCCTATTGGGCCTTTAGTCTTGGCCCATTAGTTAAAAATCTCTATTCTGTTGATTTTTTCACCAAAAATATTTCATTTTCAGGCTTCAATACATTATTATTTTTCCTAAAAGAAAATAATTTAACTTTTAATATCTTAAACTTTTGGTTTTAATTTTTTATCTATAAATAGTGTTTACATAGGGCATGTATTTAGTTTGTTTCGTAATTAAAAATAATAATAAAAGCTTTTTTATAACTCAATTCTAGGAATTTATCTAAATTATCAAACGATCATTCATAGTATGTTGTTACACAGAGACTGTTATTTGGCAATAATTCGATAATTATTGGTATTACAAAAACACTTTAAGCATCCACTCGCCTGCGGATTATGTAAAATGAATGCTAATAGTAATGGCTCACGAGCCCTAGAGTAACTCTCTTTCCCATAAAGCAGCTTTCATCTCTTTCAGTGAATGTTCCATATCATCACATATCTTGTGAGGATCAGGTATGATTGTAGGATCAACCGCTAACGAGATTGTCATCCTCCCAGCATAACTTGTGTAATGTATCAACAATGCCTATCAAACACACATAAGACATGTGTTAGACGATAATATCATAAAACAAAAGCTTCACAATATGTTTAAGCTTAATAACATACTTGTGAGTGTCCGTAACCGCTTGGCGCAATGTAAGTGATTGGATTGCCATGGAAACTGATTTCTTCCATTGGACCCATAACGTTCGAAACGCACATCGTTGTGTTAGTCACGGTTCGCTTGAATAATTCTGCTGCTAGCTTTAGTGACAAGATAAGCTGTGTTATATTTTCATGACAATTACAAACAAATCTCTAAATGATCAATGAGTTTATTTACCTTAGCTCCTAACAATTTTTGGCCGATTTTGATCATCCAATACGCTAAATGAGCATGATAAGAATGCTTCTTTCGATCCATCATGGATTTGGATATTTTTAGATACACCAATAGATCGGTTTGTAAACCGATGGAGAATGGCAAAACAATAAAGCTAAAGTAATTTCCCCATCTGCATTTTGAGTCTCTGACCATCATATCTGCCTAAGGCTTTATACAACAACATATATGAAGTGTACATATAATACATTAGATTAAAATTTTAGGTGTGTGTGTCTCTAACCTTGAACCCTTTTTCTGACCTTAGATTTACTGTACAGCCTGCACGAAATCGTATTCCATCTGGAAGATTGTTCGGATACGGTATCAATGCTCCATCCTCCTCATTCTTGTTGTCTAATTTTTCATGAAACAAGATATACATGTAACCCATGCATGCATTAAAACATGTAGATCAAACACGCTAATTCTTGTTAATTATATCAGAATTAATGCTTATAAAGACATTATATAACTATGGCAAGTTAATTGTTAGAAATCCTTATAATACATATCATATACAATGAAGTCATTTTTTACCAAATCGTCTGTTCAAGTAGCTAGAAAGAGAGGCTTGTGTGATTCCAACCAGAACATCGTTGATAGTCTAGCAACACGCGAAAGAGGGTATAAAGATCCACTGAAATAAAATTAAAGAGTAACCCTAAAATTATAGTTATGAAGATAAATTGTAACGTACCATGTTCATAGTGTTCTTTATAAGTTTAATGTCATCCAAAGAGATAGTTCTGTGATAAAATCTCTTTGGATTACTCCCAACATCCGCGCCACCTTTTAGAGGTGTCTTTGTATCTTTCAAGAACAACATAGTAGCAAAAAGCAGCAACATATCCACAATTGTATTCCAAATCAGGCTCATTGTAGAACCAATGGTGAATATCGACCTTAAGAACCAGCCTTTATGTTTGTATCTTTCACGCCGTTTCAACGAAGGAATAGTAGTTGAAACTGTTTTGGGGTCTGATGTTTTATGTGTGCATGCGAGCAAGAGAGACACCATGGACGTTCCATCTCCCAACGTATGGTGAGTTCTTACTACACCGACTGCTTCAGCATCTGAGGTTTTGACGTTAAGGATGTGAATGTCCCACAACGGTTTTGATCTATCCATAGGATACATCGTGAGACGTGAGGTATAGTCATCTACGAACCCTTCTCCGTCTTCACCTATCTCTTCTGGATCTATGTATGGTACAACTACATGGTCTTCTACATTGACTTCCGTCTCAATCCATTTTGCACCATCATCAGACTGTGAAGTTAAAGACAAATATATTGTAGAGACAAAACTCTATAAGAACATATGTCTGCTTCAATAATTAAGAAGCATCAAACATATATGTTTGATGTGTTGTAAGAAAAATATTCTTAAAAGTATTATATTAGGTATTATAACTATAACGTAAATTCTGAACCATTAACCATATAATATTTTTTTTTTTTTTTGTCAAACACCATATAATATTCGAATGCACCAATTACACGTGATAACAAATGGCTATGTAATGGAACGTGTGTATTACCAGTTTGCTAGAGAAACGAGGATGCTTGTAGACATTATGCTTCAAGGCATCAAGGACGAGGTCAGGTTTGATCTTGGTTTTGAACCCTATCATGGTGACGGCACAGTAGTCTATGCCTCTCGACTGGAATACTCGAGCCATCGGGCTGAGGGGTTCGTCTTCCTCCTCTCTCATTCCCTCTTTCATCATTGATGTCGGTTTCTTTGCTCATGTGTTCATTGTTCTTTATAAGAGAACGTAAATTTATAAGAGGTACTTTTTCTCACAATCATATAAAAACATTTTTAAAATGTTAGTATGATTAGATTTAGTGTTATATATACTTTGATTGACGAGAAACATCATCCAGTAAAAAAAGTTTCCTTCAATTCTGTTTAATTAGTATGTCACTGGACTCAAAAGCTCAACTTGTGCCTTGAGCAACACAATTTAATTTGATCAGTGCATGTGTCTTATCATCTTATTAAATGTTGATATGGAGTGTGATTGCGGAAAGTCGCGCAGAAAGGTGCGGCCGGGTGCTGCTTGCACATTCAAAGATATCTATATATATGTTCATATATTTAATACATTGGTTTGCTAAAACTACCACCAGTGTTGTTGGAAAATACTTTTTGGGGACCTCCTATCAATGACTATGCCTGCTATTGGCAAGATTTTCTTGTCCACCACCTAGAATTGGAAAATAAACTCCAATTAAATTGGGTTGACAAGGAAATAAATCCTCCAATAAAACTGCTTGGTCTAAAATCTTATATTCTCTCAGTTTTAATTTACTTGTTGTTGTAGAGAAAAAATTTCGTTTCAAAATAAGTCTCGGTTTTATAATTTTAGTGCAGATTTTTTTTTTGCTAAACTAATTTCAGTGCAGAATTGATTAAATTTATATGTTTTTCTATTTTTTCATTGATTGAAATGTGATGGTGTTTTTATCTTGAAATATATAAAATTAACTGTTTAGAAACCTAAAACGATAACTAAAATAAAACGGTGGAAGTAATAAATATGGGTAATATAATAAAAAATATGATTAAAATATTGATACATTCATATAAATGACATACATATACACGCTTTAAATTCTCACAAGCCTTAGAGTAATCCTCTCTCGGAAAGAGCATCTTTCATTGACTTGAGTGACTCTTCCATATCATCACATATCTTCTGAGGATCCGGTATTATTGTAGGATCCACCGCTAACGAGATTATCATCTTCCCCGCATAACTTATGTAATGTACCAATAATGCCTATCAACACACAAATATAAGATTAGGAAGAGCAAAAGTTGATTATCATTTGATTAAATCACACAACAACCCAAAAAAAAAAAAAAAAACACGTACTTGTGAGTGTCCGTACGAGCTTAAAGCGATATAAACTATAGGATTGCCACGGAAACTGATATCATCCATGGGACCAATGACGTTTGAAACGAATGTTGTTATATTATTCACGGGTTGATTGAATAATGTTGCTGCTGCCTAATATATAATGTCAAGATTGCGTTATATTGTTTACTATTGTCCGGATAATTGGAACAAAAAGTTCGTTGATCACTTTGTTTTACCTTAATTCCAAACACTTTCAGGACGATTTTGACGACAAAATACACTAGTGCAGCGTGATAAGAATGCTTCTTTCGAGCCATCATGGCTTTAGATAATTTTAGATGGACCAATGGATCGGTTTGTAGACCGATGTGAAAAGACAATATGATACAGCTCACGTAGTTTCCCCATCTGCATTTTGAATCCTTGGCCATCATATCTGCCAAAGGCTTTTATATAACATATATTAGGGGTGATTAATTGGACTTTAACTAGTGAATTTAGGTTTATTTTTTATCTACAACCATATAAATCATCCAATCATGTTTTAAGTAAAAATGGTTGTAAAGCTAAAGTCAAAAAAATAAAAATAAAAATGGTTGTAAGAACCTTTTTTTCTAAAACAAAAAATACTACGTAGGAACATATTTCTTTTTTCTATTTTTTATCATTTAATTTCTACAGTTAGATACAACTACATCTAAAAATTCTAAAATAAAATTTCTACAGTTACAGTACCGTCAATGACAACAATACAAGTTTGACAAGGTCAATATATATATACTAGGTGATTTTCCCGTGCTCATGCACGGGTATGAATATTCATAAAAGTAAAATTTTATAATAATTGATTTGTATTTAGTTTTAGTTTTGAATCAATTAATATGTATAATTTATATTAATAAGTATTATATTATTCTAATTATACATATGACTTTGGATATATTATTGTCGGTGCAATTATTTTTCGGATCAATAGTTGGTTTGATTATCAATTTGGTATATTGGATAATATCTATTTTTCGAATTCAACTATAATATCTTTTATTCTAAATATAATAAAACTTTGATTAATTTCTTTATTTTCATTTCGGTTGGTTATTGTCTTTAGATATGTAACTATATTCTTAGATATGTAAATATATGATAGTTAAATTGTGTATAACTTAATATATATTGTGCTTAAATGAAATAAATAATTGATTGGTATGTAGTTTTAGTCTTTAATCAATTTATATGTATAAATTATATTAATAAATATTATATTATTCTAATTATACATATGACTTTGGATATATTATTACCGGTTTAG